GAATGGTATGAATGTTGTGTTTTTAATGATGTACTGTCCTACATGTTAAATGTTCGTCCCCCCCCCCCCCCCTTTTCGAGTTGTAAGCCGCCCTGAGTCCCCTCAGGGAAAAGGGCGGCATATAAATAAACTTCTCAAATCTCAAATGCTTCCAACTGCTGCTGAGAAGAGGCCAACCATATGTGTGTTGACTTTCAAAAAGACCCATCCCAGCATTCCTTCCTAACAGCGTAAGTTTCATTGGAATGAATCAATGTATTATTTGCTTTATTTTGAATTTAAGGACTTATTTTAGAAATATTGTTTTCTGATGACGTTTCCAATGTCCAAGCATAGTTCACACTGGTGTGCTTTTCTCAATCAACAGCTGTGCTCATAAGATAGGCTAGAATTCTCAATATTTCGAGAACTCTTCATTTGGAAGGTGATACACAGCATCAAAAGTTGAAAGGGACACCTTACAAACTGTGCAGACTTTCTGAAGAAGTTGACTTTTAATATAAATGTGGACAGAAATGTATGGTGGAAAACTCAATGCTTTTCAAGTGAGGGTACAATAACTCTCCCCCACAAAATTCACTTTTGGAATCAGCAATGCTCATGAATAATAACCATCAATACATCTATGTTGTGACCCTTACTGAAGTCTTGTGCTCAGAAATGGTTATCAGATCTGAAGAAGCTTAACAGGCTAGCAGAGTTGGATAAACCCTATAACCTTTTACACAATGCTTGGCCAATCTCTTCTTAAAAACCTTCAGTGTTGGAGCACCCACATCTTCTGGAGGCATCTTGTTCCACTGATTAATTTCTCTCATTGTCAAAGTTTTCCTAAGTTCTAGGTTGGTTCTCTCCTTGATTAGTTTCCAATCTTTGCTTCTTGGTCTGCCTCCAGGTATCAAAATGTTGATCTAAAGATCTTTCAATGCTATTGTGCTTTAAAACTCTAGGTTGTCCTGCCTTCAGGAGCTTTGGAGAATAGGTTGACCCCTTCTTCCTTCTGGCAGCCCCTTAAATATTGGAACACTGTTATCATGTCTCCCCTAATTCTTCTTTTCACTAAACTGGACATACCCAATTCCAGCAATCATTCTTCTTATGTTTTAGCCTTCAGTCCCCTAATCTTCTCTGCATTCTTTCTAGAGTCTCAACATCTTATATCATGGTGGCCAAAACTGGATGCAATATTCCAAATGTGGTCTTACCACGGTATTGCAAAGTAGTATTAACACTGATCTTAATTCTATCTCTCTATCTTCTCCAAGAGAAAACCAGAATGAATAGGATGTAGAGGCATAATTGGGAAAGATTATAGCCACTGGAGCAAAATGAAGAAGGGAGGAACAATAGAGTGATATAAATAATGCCCATGAGATGGCAGCCAGGATTTTATCCTTTCTAAAAAGCCAATAAGGAATATCCTTTAAAAAAAAAAAAGCCAATGGAACCTGGGGATTGTTGCTCCAAAGAGCACCACAAAAGATAAAGGAAATTCCACAAGCACACACAGGTTTTCCTGCAATGTTCCCCAATGTTTTTCTCACTATAGAGTTGAATCCAAGAATTACCAGCAGTTCCTGGCCTTGGTGTTTTCAGTCAAAGAGATCAACAAGGATTCGAATCTCCTTTCGAATATCACTCTTGGCTTCCACATCTACGACAATTGCCAGATTGAGAGGAATATTTCATTAATCAGCCTCTCCCTTCTCTCCACACGAGGTCAAATGGTTCCAGGTTATAAATGTGACAGGGAGGACCCTCTGCTCTCTGTCATTGGAGGTCACAGTTCCAAATCCTCAATCCAGATGGCCTCCATCTTCAGTATCTTCAAGGTCCCACAGGTAAGGGGGCTTCACTCGATACATTATGGAGTACAAAAACAACAGAGAACACGCCAAACATTTTTTGGAAGAATCTTCAGAAATACAATGGGTAACTTAGATAATCCATGATATAGTTGAATTGATTTTTATATTCTCAGTGCCTCAGCTTATCAATCAGAAGGTCGGCAGTTCAGTGGTTCGAATCCCTAGTGCCGCATAATGGAGTGAGATCCTGCTACTTGTCCCAGCTTCTACCAACATAGCAGTTCAAAAGCACATAAAAATGCAGGTAGAAAAATAGGGACCACTTTGGTGGGAAGGTAACAGCACTCCATGTGCCTTTGGCATTGAGTCATGCCAGCCACATGACCATGGAGATGTCTTTGGACAGCGCTGGCTCTTTGGCTTTGAAATGGATATGAGCTCCATCCCCTGAGTCAGAAAATGAGTAGCACATATGTGGGGGGGGGGGGGACCTTTACCATAAACACTTTTGTATAACCACAAAAAGACAGATGAGATAATTCTGGAATGTTGTATTTGCCAAAAATAATTTCTTCCTAACCCAAAGACATTGCGCTTCTCATCCCAGAAGCTTCTTCAATTTCTTTCCAACTTTTCCTCCAAAAATTGTAGCCACCTTTTCCATGCAGTTTATTTTCTATATCAGGTTGATAGTTTGATTCCTTGGCTTCTGGTATGTCACAACAAGACAAAATATGTAACTGGGGGATGTTTTTAAAATGGGTAGATGTTTATGTTTATTATTCAGTATTGGACAGCCAGAGTGGTGGGGTAACCAACCACATAACGGGGACCCCTAAAGTCTCCATAAAATTTTATTTTGTCTTTGAAAAAAGAATCTCTTTTTCTCCAGCTCGGTATTGGCTTTGAGATCTCTCAGGGAGACAGAAGAGTTTATCCTTCCTTCTTCCGGATCAATCCCAAGGAATCTCCTCAGTATGTGGGTTTAGTCCAGCTGCTCCTGTATTTCCAGTGGAACTGGGTTGGGCTTTTGGCTTCTGAAGATGACAGGGGACAACATTTCATCTCATCCCTCATGCCAATGCTCCAGGAGAAGGAGATCTGCCTGGCCTTCATGGAAATCTTTAAATTTCATGATTTGATTACTAGAATATTGAAATCACTTTTTGTTTTCAATGCTTGGTTTAAAGCAGAAGTGCTTATTCTGTTTGGAGAGTCCAGTAGTAGTGCCTATGTACAGTTGGCTGCATCTATCCAGGAGCAATTGAGAATAACATCATTTCAGATGTTTGGATCTTAATTTCACATTCAAAACTTACTGTGAAGGGATATCGAAGCCTACTGAAAGTCATGAAACCCTTCCATGGGGCTTTGCATTTTAGGGACCACACCAGTGATTTATCAGAATTCAGCCAATTCCTCCTGGTCTTTGGACCCTTTGAATCCACAAGGGGACCTCTTTCTCCCACTATGGTGGGAGTCGGTCTTTGACTGCAAGATCCAAAGATCAGACCAGATCCCTCAAAAGGGGAAACATCCATGTACAGGAAAAGAGAATTTACAGAAAATACCATCTTTAATTTTTGAAAGGAGCATGACAGGTGAAAGTTACAATATCTACAATGCCATTTATGCTATGGCACATGCATTACAAGCTATGTATGGATCCGGAGTGAGACCAGCCACGATGAGGCTTGAAAAGAGGACCTCAAATGTCCAATCATGGCAGGTAATTTCTGTGACTTTTTATGCAGTCCACATATCCTTAGAGAGGAAGCTCTCCTCAACTACCTATTGAATTATTGATTAAATATCTGTATGACATCCTATCACTCCATTTCCAAGAGATTAAAATAGCAATTATATAAAAATACAAATTTAATATTTTGTCAAAAATGGGTAGAGGGAAGAAAAGAGAACTCAATCAAGCCAGTTGCCCATAGGATTCATGGAGGAAAGACCTTCCAAGAAGCTCCTAAGATCTTCAGAGGTCCTCAATGCTCCTTTGACAGAAGACCTTTGTCTGAGTTTCATGGAGAGGCCATTCTAGGTCGGAGGAGTCTTCCCACAGCGAGATGACAATTCTGCAAGGTTCTCCTTGTAAAAAGTCATTCAACTCAATTCATTTTAACCTTGGTTTATGCTTCTATGGCAGGGCTTTCAAACTTGAGGCCCACAGGCCAGATGCATCAGGAGGTCATGGTTGTCCCAAAGGTGGTTTTTTTCAGGAGGCAACAGGATAGTGGAGAATGAAAGGATTTATATTCCTTGCAGACAGCTGCTAATTTTCGTACTTTTAGAGGGTCATTGAAGCACTTTATCTGTATCTTCAGAGTCACCTGAGTGGTGCTCCTAGTTCCTGTAGTCTGCCATTTTTTCTCTGGAAATCCATTCCTACTCCCACACCGTTCAAAGGCTGTTCACTCCGAACTGTATAGCTAAACGTCTATAGAGATTCTCAGTCATCCAGGTCCTCGTTGTCCCAAAGGTGCTTTTTCAGGAGGCAACTGGACTTTCTTGCTTTTTTCTTCTTTTGAAGACATTTTGCTTCTAATCCAAGATCGCCAACATCTCCAAAAGAAAAATCCACGTCTTCAAAAGAGAAAACAAGAAAGTCCAGTTGCCTCCTGAAAAAGCACCGTTAGGACTGGGGACCTTTATGTAAGATGAGATGCTTCAAAAGACCATTTTCCCTCCTATTGGACACAGTTGCAGAACCACTTCTCTGTTCCTAAGTCCGTAGGCTGGATCCACCCTGTAAAAAGACATTAATTTTAACCAAGGTGTATGTTTCTGTGATGTAGCAATCTATGCCCTATGGAGATTCACAGACCTCCAGGTCATGATTGTCTCAAAGGTGCTTTTTTCAAAAAGCAACTGGACTTTGTTTTTTCCTTGAGGACAACATTTCGCTTCTCATCCCAAGAAGCATCATCAGTTCTAACTAATACTCCTTCCACCCTCCCATCATCCAGTTAAAATTGGTGAAGCTTCTTGGCTAAGAAGTGAAACATCTTCCTCAAGAAAAAAACAAAAAACAAAGTCCAGTTGCCTTTGGAAAAATCACCCTGGAGAGGAGACTTAGCATCCTATGTTGTCCACCCCATTTTCTAAGTCAACCCATTTGTCAACATCAGCACACATAACAACATGCAACATTCAAAGTTGTCCTGACAGGTTTTAACATCAAGGGCTCATTGTTGGACATCTCTGGACACTAAAGGGAGAAATCAGGGCAGGTATTTGCTTGCAGAAGGTGCCTATTTGGTCAGACCTGGTTACTTTTTTTTTCTCTTTGACTATCAGCTAGGGAAAATCAGTAGAATATTACATTGTTGTGACAGAAATTATTTAATCATTCCTAAAATGGATTTGCAACTTACTGAGCCATGGTGGTACAGTGGTTAGAAGGCAGTATTACAGGCTGGCTCTGCCCACTGCCTGGAGTTCGATTCTGAAAGGCTCCAGGTTGACTCAGCCTTCGATCCTTCCGAGGTTGGTAAAAGGAGGACCCAGATTGTTTGGAGGCTAACTATGCCCACTGCCAGCAGTTTGATTGTCACCAACTCAAGGTTGGCTCAATCAGAACAAAGCTGGAAGGGGTTTTAGAGGACTTCTAGTCCAACCCGAGGTGGCGCAGTGGTTAGGGTGCAGTACTGCAGGCCACTTCAGCTGACTGTTATCTGAAGTTCAGCAGTTCAAATCTCACCAGCTCAAGGTTGACTCAGCCTTCCATCCTTCCGAGGTGGGTGAAATGAGGACCCAAACTGTAGGGGCAATATGCTGACTCTGTAAACCGCTTAGAGAGGGCTGAAAGCCCTATGAAGCGGTATATAAGTCTAACTGCTATTGCTAACTGCTAACCCCTGCTCAAGCAGGACACCCCATAACATTTCTGATAGGCTCAGTCTTCCATCCTTTCAAGGTCAATAAAATGAGAACCCAGATTGTTGGAGGCAAATTGCTGACTCTATAAACTGCTTAAAGAGAGCTATAAAGAACCATGAAGAGGTATATAAGTCTAAATGCTATTGCTATTGCTACAAGACCTTACAAGGCCTTGGAGCAAAGTAAACCTATAGCCAAATATAAATTTTGGAGTGTATCTTTAAAATATTTGTATGTAGGTATGATTGTGATGAACCCGGAGTTGAAGAAGCAAGGATACTGGATATTGCTAAGGAAGGAGAGAAATATTTGGTGTTTATTCTGAGGGAGAAGGAGAATCCTAAACATTATCTAATTCCTAAGAATAATCTTAAGCAGTTGCCATTTGTGAAACAAGATTTTCATGAGTAAATTTAGAGCTAGAAGGATGAAACCATGGGAAATAAGGAACTGAAAGTAACAGATGGCTGAAAGTTTCAGTTGTACACAGGTGTATGTGGAAACAGATGGTCAGTAAGAAAGAGTAAGGAAGTAGGTTATGAAATGTGTGTGTCTGTTAGAAGAAAAGTATAAAAAGAGGAGCTGGAGATCAGTATGGGGCCATTGGCCAATTGGTCCGGGATGGCGAACCTATGGCACGCATGCCACAGGTGGCACACAGAGCCATTTGTCAGGGCACGTGAGGCCCTGTCAGTTGGCCAGCATATATGCGCGTGCTGGCCAGCTGAGTTCAGCCTTTTTTAAAGCCATTTTTCACCCTTCCCAGGCTCCAGAGGCCTTATAGGAGCCTGGGGAGGGCGAAAACAGCTCCCCCCCCTGGAGGCACTCCAGAGGCTTCAGGAGCTGCCCTGAAGGCTCCAGAGGGCTTAAACCAGCCCTACGAGCAAACCGGAAGTCTGTTCCTGAACTTCCGGTTTGCCTGTAGGGCCATTTTTTTTTGGAGCTCCTGAGGCTTAAGGGAAGCTCCGAGGGGCCTCCGGGGGGGGAGGGCTGTTTTTGCCCTCCCCAGGCTCCTATAAAGCCTCTGGAACCTGGGGAGGGTGAAAAAAGCATGCAAAATATGGGGGGGGGGGTCACGCCTGGCATGCACGCATGCACACTTAGGGGGGGTCGTGCATTGCATTATGGGTGCAGCACATCTGCACATGATCCCCCTGCACTCCCCCCGTTTATGGCATGTGAGCAAAAAAAGATTTGCCATCACTGCTATAGGTGATCCTTGCCAGACCTGCTATGTCATTGGACCTCATTGCAATAGGTTGCTGATGTAAGGTGAACTCTGTTATAGTGATTGTCTCTGTTCCAAACGTCTTAGAAAAATAAACCTCTGGATCTTAAAGTAAGAATTATTGTTTGTGTTGCTGTCTTTTGTTTCTTTGACTGGGTTTGTCCATGACAATCCTGATTACTTAGACCTCCACCAAGGGAATTCCTCAAGGTTCTCAGAGATCATAAACTAATGTGATGGCCGCCACAGAATGATAGATGCCATGGTGGGTTTCAGCAAACACTCCAATGTCTGAAGGTCTGTTTCCTTTCAGATTCTTCCCTATTTGAAGAACGTCCAGTTCAACAACAGTGCTGGAGATGAGGTCTCCTTCTCAGAAGATGGTCTGGAGTCTGCTCGTTATGATCTTCTCAACTGGTTTTGGTTCCCCAACCAATCTTTTGTCCCTGTCAAAGTTGGGCAAATAGATCCTGGGGCTCCTCCTGGCCAGGATTTCACCATTAATTCTGATGCAATCACGTGGCCTACAAAGGTGAGATGGAATCTTTTCAGGGAAAGATTCATTCTCTCCTGGGGATGGAAATCATCCACAATCAGAAAATAGTGCAACCATTTGGCAAAGATACTGCTTCCATAAGGGCCCCATGTAAACAGGTTTACATGTGATGCATTTGAGAACTAATTTGTCATGGAAAAGACTGGGATTGGGAAAATTTTCTTGAAACTCCAGAGGCAATTAGAACTTCCAAAACTTATTTCCATGGACCAGCCTTATTCAGTTGGATCCATGTTATTCTTTGTTTTGGAAAAGCTGTTAATCAATGCCACAAACCTTCTTTTACACCCCAAGGGGCCAATTCCGATATCCAGCATCCATTGGTGGGATTGGGAGTGCCACCGTCTCCTGAATCCCCCATGGTTTCTGATAGATCAGGCTCATGCATTTCTGTTGATGGAATTCTAAAGCCACCTCAAGCATTCGCTTTTTACCTTTTAGAAGGTGCCCTTTGCCAGGTGTGGTCTGAAGAGGTGCCAGGCAGGATAGAGGAGAAGAGTTCCAGAGGGCGAGCAGGTTTGCTGCTACCAATGTGACTCTTGTCCAGAAGGGACCACTTCTAATCAGGCAGGTAAAGCATTCTTCAAATGTAGATTTTCCAGTATCAAGGAAGCCATAAATCAACTAGTGATTTATTTCTGATATGATTCTTGTTATTGTTGTGCCATATCCATCATTGGATGTTGGTGAGAATGTTGGCAATCCTATTTTTATCAACAGCCACATGAAAAAGTGAAGTTGGGTTTTGTCCAAACCAGTCCTTTAATCGCCTAGAAGTTCCAGTATAAATTGGAAAATCCAGCTGTCAATCTTTCTCATACTGAAAAACACAGTATTCATAGGAGTGTCCATTGACTGGAGAGGGCTATTTCTCCCACAGCAAACTGATCAGGTCAGGTGGAGCTGATCAGGTCCTTGTCTCAGTGTAATCTATCTCCATGTTCATTATGAATGTTCTCCCTTTTTGATTTCCCCATTAAGTACTCAGTGGGTCATTCCATCAACACATTTGTGGACTGGCCACAGCATAAAGGAAATAGTCCTGTCACCACTGAGGGATGGAGAATGCCAATGGCAGATGCCCATGAAACCCTTAGCAAAGACTAAGCATTTCATCTTAACATTTAATCTTGATTTCAGATGCAGCTCACTGTGACCCCTGCCCAGAAAACCAATATCCCAACAAGGACAAGGACCAATGCATTGCCAAGAAGCTCCACTTTCTTGCCTATCAAGAGACCCTGGGATACACTTTGGCTTCTCTAGCTCTTTTCCTTTCTCTGATCACATCTGCAGTATTGGTGATTTTCCGTAAACATCATGACACACCAATAGTCAAGGCCAACAACCGAGATCTCACCTACATCCTCCTAGTCTCCCTCCTGCTGTGCTTCCTCTGTTCTTTCCTCTTCATTGGTCGACCCAGGAAGGTCACCTGTCTCTTCCAACAAACTGCCTTTGCCATTCTCTTCTCCATTGCAGTTTCCTCTGTCTTGGCAAAAACTGTCATGGTGGTTCTGGCCTTCATGGCTACCAAGCCTGGGAAGAGGGCAAGGAAATTCTTAGGAAAACCACAGACCAACTCCATTGTCATAGTCTGTCCCCTGATCCAAGCAGTTATTTGTGCCACCTGGCTGGCAACGTATCCTCCATTTCCCAACATGGACTTCTACTCCTTGGTAGAAGAGACCATCTTGGAATGTAAGGAAGGCTCAGCTTTCATGTTTTACACTGTCCTTGCCTACTTGAGTTTCCTGGCCCTCATCAGTTTCACAGTGGCCTTTTTGGCTAGGAAATTGCCTGACAGCTTTAATGAAGCCAAGTTCATAACTTTCAGCATGTTGGTCTTTTGCAGTGTTTGGATCACTTTCCTCCCCACCTATCTGAGCACCAAAGGGAAGTCCATGGTGGCTGTGGAGATCTTCTCCATCTTGGCCTCTGGGGCTGGTCTCTTGGCTTGCATCTTTTTCCCCAAATGCTACATTATCCTACTGAGGCCCCATCTGAATTGTAGAGAGAATATAATGAGGCACAAGAAACTCTGATTTATATCTCTGATTTGTGTGGGGACAGAGAA